AAGAGTTTAGGCTAAGTTGTGTTTATCTTAGTTGCTTTACATTCTACAAATAAATGCATAAAAAGAATCCTTGCACATGGTGAATTATTACCACTAAATCAGCTTTAAAAATCTTTTAAATTAATCTGGCCTATTGTAATGGACTTTTTCATAAGCTGTTGTTAAACATGCCACAACTTACATTGTTTGTTTATCAAGATCTGAGGTGCCCTTGTGCTTGCTTGTCCTCTTGGAGACATGAGGCTGTTGATGGGATCTTGCCCTGCTGCACCTCACATGTAGACATGTACGTTATTTTACTTTGTCACTCAACTCCTGAGAGCCAGGAAACACCAGCAGCCCCACAGCACCCCACTGCACAGCCAGCCTGGTCCAAGGTTTAATATGCCTGTGCCTCACACCCACATTGGTTCCCTGTAGGTTCTTTCTGCTGGTGGGAAAGGACATGTCTAGCCTGAGGATGTTCCATCAGCAGCTACCATAGTGTGAAGTGTGGGGACTTACCTTTCATCACAGGTCACACAAGGACAGAGCAGGCACTTACCTTTAATGCTGTGCTGCTAAGACTGAGAACACTGTTAGTCTCTTTGACAATGCTACACTTGTACAGATCTTACCTTTAACTGTTTTTATTTTGCAGCTTCTGTTGGTGTCAGATGGATGATCGGGGTTACAGAGATTAACAAGGGCTCTACCTATGGCAACAATGACAACAAGCAGAAACAAAAGTAGCATCTTCAGAGACTGCTTCAATCCAAAGGGAACAAATGCAACTGCTGAAAACTCTTAAGTGCGTATCATGGTCCTTCAAGCGAGATCAGAGGAAGGGTAGGATGAGCAATTGCCATGCATATCTGAATTTCTGCTCCTGTTGTTTTACTTTGAGGATTTGGGCTGGATGACACACTTCAAAGATGCACTCCTTCGTACACTCTCCACAACAGGTTTGCATTTGTGTGGGTGGTTTGTTTTCTCTGAAGTGTCTTTAAGTTTTGAAGAAAAATGACTTCCAGCATGCTTATATGGTGAGATTCTACCTGGAAACTAAGCAGAGGTGCAGGCTTTATCTCTCTTAACTTGCTCTAAGGAATGGATAAATGTCAGAAGACATGATATAAGATGATTAGAATTGATAGTTGTGTAGATCACACAGTTCAACAACCATAATCTGTCGGTGTTTAAATACAGTACAGTAAGATGCTCTGCTTGGTTATACCAGTATTGGACTGAAGCAGCTCTACTGCAGTAGAGATTTTATACATCTAGAACTTATTCCCACACTGTGCACCACATGGGCTCTTTAAAATTTCAGCCAGACCCTGGACATCCAGACATTGGAGCCTTGTAGTAGCATAACCTGGAGCAGATTTTGGCCTTGTGGCCTGAGCAGAACTAAGTCACCCACTGCCATCTCTTTTCCCAGGCAATACATCAGAGGGGGACAGCTGAAACCTGTAATTCTTCTGAGAGTAAATGCCATTAGTTTGGAAAAACTGAGGTAGTACAATTAATTTTGGCTTTAAACACTACTTAAAAGTCTAGGCCTTCCTAACAATGGTGGAAAGAAAATAACTGGGCACAGTGTAGTGAAATAATGCAAAGTGTGCATTAAAAAGTATGCCCCATACCCATACTGTTGTGATCCTAATTAATCTGCTTGTCTGTCTTTTCTGATAAATTAGGTAACTTGGTGGCTCATAACAGTCAGCCTGAGGCAATAGTTAAATTATTTTTTCTTTTCTTTTGGGGAGAAGAGGGGAAGTAGGAGAGAGACCTAGGACACTAGTATGGCTTAGTTTTTTATATCTGTCTGGACTTGATTTGACATAATAATAAAACTAGAAATCAAGCTCCTTGGGAAAAAGGTGCTGCTCTGACATTGTTGGTACTGATTTCAGGACAGTCATCTCCTGTGTTTAAAGAGGATCTGCAGGTTATTGAAAACTTTCTTCAAAAAGGAAAAGAGGGGACTTCCAACTACCAGCAGTCATGACTGGTAGAAACTCCAGTCTTTTGAAATCTACAGATCCTGGTGCTGAGCAGTAAAGATTATGATTAGTACTTTCAATGATGATCCATTTTCATTAGGCATAGGACTAAACTGTGAGAGTCTCTAGTGAAGAAAGTGAGCAGTCCTAGTTCTAGCAGCAGGTATAAAAATATTTCTCTTTTCCTATAATAAAACTGAGGCCAGAAGGAACAGGCTAATACAACAAAATACAAATCATTCCATGAAACAGGTATTTGTTATTTAGTACATCAGATAATCTAGAAACTCATTTTTTAATATGCAGCACCTAAAGAGCAGGTGCATCAGTGCTTGTAGCATGGGGTAGTAAGTGAAGTTTATTGACAGTGGAGGCAATAAAATTTACAACATGAAGTAAGGAATAGGCCATGGGAAGCACGAGACTCACATATCTTATGCACATGTGCATTCCCTATGCTCTGAAGCTTTCTGGAATGATGTCATGAACAGAAACATGGACTCTAGTGTAATTTCTCCAACACAGGAAATAGAGCCCAAGAGCAAAAAATACTGCCATGCTTACAATGTTGTTCTTTTAATAAAGCACATGCCCTGCACTCTGTTTGCTGTAACAATCTTAACAGTGAATACCAGTACTATAATCTGTAGGCTGAAGCTAGCCTGTAGTAATGATCAGGCACATCAATGAGTCAGACCTGAAGACACTACACAAGAGTCTCAAAATGGGCAGAAAGGAAAGAGAGAAAAGGTGTCCCTAAGCTAGCATTTTACTGTAAATGTTTGCTGGCAGATACAGTGGGCTCTGCTCAGGGTGGCAGAATGAACCCTAGATGCAGGGGTGAGTAGTTCTGAGCAGCAAATACATATTCATGTGGTGATGGAGACTAGCTGGTTTGCCTTTTAAAGAGCCACTGATTTAACATGCAGTAGGGATGACATTTAATGTTTCTTATGAATGTCAGTCCTTTTCTCTCCAACTGCATGCAGTGCCACTTCTCCCTGAGGAAAATACCAAACATGAAAATAACTTCTGAAAGAGTATTTGTATTATTTCATACCCAGTTCCCTGGGGAACACTTAGAACAGGCTGAGGGCCAAACATGCCACTCCTAGATCCGTCCTCCTGAGCACTTCTGCAAGTCCCAGCGCACAAGAACTGCACCACTGGGCACTTCCAGCACTCACTGACAAACAGAGAAAGCTTAATGGTACTTGCCAAAGTTAAATTAGTCCAGTTCACTGTATTACTAGAATGACACAGGTCATTAGAAAGCAGTGTTTGTCCCTCATCCCCACAAACAACTGTATGTTCTACAACTGCCTTAACAAAAGTAGTCTTAATGTTTGTTTATACAAAAATAAAAGGCTAAAAAGCTGATATCCAGTGAATGAGTTTTCTTTTGATTGACAACAACAAACTAGTAATAGTTTACCTGTCACCTCTATCCTGACTCCTAAAAGCTGTCCACAGTTCCTGTTTGTGTACAAGGGCACCTGAGGACACAAATCACTCAGATGTACTGCAAAGTGAAGCAAACAGCAGGCCAGGGGGAACTTTTACCTCAGGTACTTTCATAGCTCTTTGCTGAGGATGACAACATACTTCGCCCTCCTACCACATAACTGAAAATAGAGAACTGAAAAGAACGACAAGTATTTAAATTCAGCATTGCATTTCTTGAAAGCCTAGATATACTGCACAGGGCAAATGCACAGCAAGGCTCATACTTTTCTAAATAGGAAATGTCAGATTTTGTGACACCTCCTCAACAGCTCACCCCACAACTGTGAAAAACCAAGGACTTGTGTCTTAAAAAGAGAGACAAGACACTAGAATAAAACCAAATACTAAAAGCAAGTTATAAGTTACCTATTTTAAGTTTAAGGGTATAATAGGAATATGTAAACTTGCACTAGTGTTTACAAGTAACAGTTTTAAGTCACCTGTTTGTAACAGCAAGTCAGACAAAATTATCAACTAGATGATGTGTTGCAGGTTGTTTCTTCTAATTACTAACCACGTCTAACCTCTCTCTCTTGTCTGACTCTGGTGACAACTGGGGTGTGGTGGAAATCAAAGCCCAGGATCAGAATCAGTTTCAAAACGCTAGAAGTTCTTGGTTTTGCCAAACAAAACATAAGAATCAACTTGAACAGCTCTCCTCTAGATCACATAAATGCCATGGAGAGCACTGCCCATTCACAGTGCTGGCATTCAAGAAAGTTACCCCCTTAGAAAGTAGGGAGTGTCAGGAATTGCCCAATACCTTTTTCCCTCAGAAGGTGAAAGCAGGGAACCTTTCTGTTATCACTTCTGTAAGAAGCATCTCGCACTGCACATCCTGAAACTAGACAAAATGTTGACTGTTGCAATATAAGAGCAGCTTATTCCAGTTAGGTTAGCTTAGCAGTCTTAAGAGTGTTGAAAAGAAGTTTAAAATGTGACAAAACCCCACCCACATTTATTTGTGGAAGAAAAACCCTTCACCAACATCTCCTAAAATAAACCATTTATTGAGAAAAAACTTTTTTTAAAATTTCATTAATCAGCCCTGTGCATAACAAATCTGAAGCTTGCCAAAAACAAATAAACAAAAAACCCAGTAAAAGTTCACAGTCAGTGCACTCAAACAGATTAAAAAACAAGGTCCATAACGCCTGATAACACTACAGCATTTTTCTGAACCTAGAAAGTTCAAAAATACTACATATTAACATTACAGTTCTCAATCAAATGAGAAACAGGAGAAAGAACAAAAAAGGTATGGTCCATATACAGTAGTAATGGCACTTTCACTGAAACATGCAGCTTCTTCCAACTTGCAGACACTGTCACATGAGCAACATGTGCCAAGTAAAATGTACAGGAGCAGCAGAGAAAGTGACATTGTCACTTGTGCAGTCTTCGTTAAGTTCAACTTTTATACTGTTTCTCAGCACAGTCTTTATGTAAATATTACATACAGTAGTGATTAAAATCTTGTCAGAATAAAAAAGGCCAGAGATTGAGTAACTTCATTCTTCATCTGTGCAAACCTGTGAAGGAAGCAAAGGCAATTAACTCATCTCCCTACTGCAGCAAGAAGATCAATTTCTTTAACACCTTTATCAAACATCTTTGCAGTTTCTTCTTTCTCCCTTGTTAAAGAGACAATGCATTACAAGTGTTTCTATGCAAGTGCTGACGTTCCCACTGTCACCTTGCAACCCTTAGGTGCCTAAAGCAGTGTCCTGCCTTTGTGCTGGATGAGCTCTGGCTACGGTTGCACTGATGAGGGATGGGTATGATGACCCCAAACACACTGGTACTGAACCAGAACACCAAAGTGAACAGCTTTATGCTGGAAAATGGGACAGAATTCAATACCTACTGTGCTCCTAGTTCTTTAAAAAGGTTACCAATATACTTCAATTTGTAGCTGTGACTATTTGCCTGTTCTTAAGGAAAGAATCATACTATAGCTCATGCAAGAACTGCAGCTTGTTACACCAACTGCCAGCTAAACATTCAATATGAACTTAAGTATGAACTTAAAAGAAAAGCATACCCTTGCACTGAAGGATGGCAGAGTTCTCAAGCATGTGCTGGTTTCACTTTTTATGGAAGGGACCCTTAGCTCTAGAAACCCGTGCACATGTACTCACTGAAGTTTCTAGCACTCTTCAGATCCAATTCACTATCACTGTGTTGAAGCCTGACTAGTCGTTTTAACACATATTAATGCATATCAAAACAGCTGTGAAAGTTATTGCACGGTGTACACCAGGTCCTATAGCCAAAGGTTTGCTAAAAACATCACATGAGCTTCTGAAAAGTTGCCAAACTGCTGTGTTTTCTGGCCGGTACCAAGTTGATGCTTTTATCAAGCCTCTGCAACAAGTAACAGCATTGCTAAGTACAAGCTTTAGTGCTTAACTTGTTATCCAACCGAGCATGTATTTCCATACTCCAGGAAATGAAAAACCACCCTCAGTACTTGCAGACTTAGTATGACA